TCCTGAGCCTCTCTCCTGGGCTTCTCCCTGGAACCTCTCAGGGCCATCCCCCTGTGCCTGTGTCTTCATCTCCTTTCTTAGGAATCCCATCCTATGGGATTAGGACCCACATAGTGACCTCATTTGACCTAACATCCCTCTTTAAAGGCATTATCTCCAAACACAGCCACATTCTGAGGTCCTGGGGATTAGGACTTCAACTTATGAAAGGGGCACAATTCAGTGCTTACCATATTGTCATCATTTTACAGGAGAAGCATGGAGCTTGGATGGGGGATCACGGCCCCGAGCTACATCCTTAGACACAGTCCTGTTGGGATTCAGGGGCTAGATGTTCCTCCTGGAGCTGGACAGGGCTGGGTGAGAATGTGAACCTTGCCTGGAGAGCATTCTTGTCTATCGAGAAGGATGCTGCTGTCTCTCCCACTGGAGTTTCCTGGGGAAAGCTGGAGGCCTCCAGGGGTGGCGGTACCTTCCTGGGTCTCTCCGGCCACTGGGCAGATAGTCAGGGGACAGGGGTCATGGGTCCAGAGGCAGAGGAATGGCCACAGGGGCCCAGGGGAGAGTCCAGAGAATGTGTAGAGCAGGGAGCCATCAGTCCCCCTGTGGAAGGAGACCCTGCTGGCATTGCAGTCCAGGGTGATGGCCACCCACTGAAGGGGGTGGGTGAGCTGGAGGTGCGTCCTGGGGTAGGACAGGGCCTGGCAGCGCTTCTGGTACAGCTCCAGCGCCCAGACTCCATGCTGTGGGGCCTTGGGAATCCTGCCTTTTCGATCCAAGCCTTCTACACACACACCCAGCATCCAGGCCTTCCTGTTGCCCACCTCCACCTCCCAGTGATACCTCCCAGTCAAGAAGCGCTCCTGGCCCAGGACGCAGTGCTCCTGCTAGAACCACCCAGGGCTGGGGGGCAGGTCCCACGAGAACAGCAGCCGCCACACGCTTCTCCCATCCTCAGACAGGCTGAGCTTGGGGCTCGTGGTGTCCAGGTCCAGCTTCAGGCTCACTGTGGAAAGGAGAGGATCATGTGTTTGGGGCTTGGGGTGCCTTCCTTGCAGATGGGGAACCCCGAGGCTTGTCTCACACACTGGGGCATCCCCCGCCATCTCTGGGAATCACTTCACTGTCTCTGTGTCTTGTGCCAGGAGCTGTCCAAATAGCCTGTCCCTAAGAGATCAGGACACATGCAGCCTGGGGTTGGGAGTGGGAGCCTGGCAGAAGGCTCCAGGGAGGCGAGAGTGTGGCCAGTGTGTGGGCAGCCTGGGTCACCTCCCAGGATGTGTACCCTGCGGCTTTCATAAGCTTGTGCTGGTGGGCAGGGTGTGTGTGAGAGCAAGATGGAGACAGAGAGAGACACAATGAGAGAGACATACAGAGAGACAGAGACAGGGAGAGACAGGGACAGAAAGAGAGAGACAGACATAGAGAAAAACAGAGAGATATAGAGACAAAGACAGAGACAAAGTCAGAGAGACAGAGAGAGACCGAGACCGAGAGAAACTGAGCTGAAGGGAGGACATGGAGACACAGCAAGTTCACTGATCACCAGCCAGTGCATCTGGAAAGCCCCAGGAGGGATCCCAGCAGCCCTGGATGCTGAGACAAAGGTCTTCCCAATCAGCCCACCTCTGCAAGAAGCACTTTTCTCTCCTTTCCCCAGTCCTTGTCCCACTTCCTTAAGGGCCACCCTTCCTCTTCAGACCCTCCGTCCATGGGGCTCCTCTTGCCTGCTGTCTCAGAGTGCCCACCGTTTGGTGCATGACCTGGGGGTCGAGGTCCGTCTACACTCCAGCTCCCTAAACTAGAGGCAGTGAGGGCCAGCCCGGGCGCCCGGCTGTTCCAGGTACCACATTTCTGACACCTGAAACCAGCACTAGGTGACCCACCCTGCTCCTTCAGAAGTTCTGTGTGCTGCTGTGGGCTTGGTCTCCGATCCCACGTCCCAGGCATCCATCATTTCCTGAACTCTCATCCCCATGGACTTGAGAGCATTCACTGTCTCCGTTATTAAAACCCCAGCTTCCCCACTAAATGCCTCTTTACCTCCTTCTTGCAAGGAAGCCCTTCACCCCTTTGCTTTTATTTCTTTATTTCCCTCCAAACATCCCCATTGCTACTTCCCGCCTTTCTTCTCCTCCCCACCCAGTTCTCTGTTCCTTGAGCCTGAGCTGTGGGATAGAACTGTTGCTGTCGCTTCTCCCTCACGTCTATACACCAGCCCCCCAGCTGCCTCTTCCCCACTGAAGAATTAGTCCAGCTCTTCATGTTTCCCTCCACCCGAAATGCTGTCATCATTTAAGGAAATTTCTTATTCACATTAAAATTATTCCAGATTTACAGTGACAAAAAGCATAAAGAATATGGCATATGATAACATCTTGCATAGCCATAGTAAAATGATCAAAACCAGAAAATGGACATTGACATAGCTTTATAAAATATCTATTTCATAATCTGCAGAGCTTATTCACATTTTGCTAACTGTCCCTCCCAAGTCCTCCCACTGGTCCCATCTCCAGCCCAGCCAGTTTTGCCTTTCCTGGTCCTTGCCTCTCCCTTTCCACAGTGACTCTTCTCTGTACTTTTTTTTTTTTTTTTTGAGATGGAGTCTTGCTCTGTTGCCCAGGCTGCAGTGCAGTGGTAAGATCTCGGCTCACTGCAACCTCTGCCTTCCAGGTTCAAGCAATTCCCCTGCCTTAGCCTCCTGAGTAGCTGGGATTACAGGTGCCCGCCACCATGCCCAGCTTTTCTTTTTTTTTTTTTTTTCATATTTTTAGTAGAGATGGCATTTCACTATATTCACCAGGCTGGTTTCGAACCCCTGACCTCAAGTGATCTGCCCCCACTTGGCCTCCCAAAGTGTTAGGATTACAGGCATGAGCCATCATGCCTGGCCTCTTCTCTGTATTTCATGAGATCATGTCCTGAGGTGAAAAGTCAGATTTCCCTGCTATCTGGGGTAACAGCATCCCCAGAGCTCCCCATCTTAGGAAAGCAGACTCCCTCAGCATCTCCCACATGCAGGATGGTTGTTGCCATAAGTTCTCCATGCCTGGCTCTCCCAGGGTTTCAGAAAATAATAAAGAAGGAGCACAGGCTGTGTGCCACACCTGTAATCTCATACCTGTAATCTCAGCACTTTGGGAGGCTGAGGCGGGTGGATTACCTGAGGTTAGGTGTTCCAGACCAGCCTGGCCAACATGGTGAAACCCCATACCTATTAAAAATACAAAAAGTAGCCAGGCGTGGTGGCAGGCATCTGTAATCCCAGCTACTCGGGAGGCTGAGGCAGGATAATTGCTTGAACCCAGGAGGCGGAGGTGGCAGTGAGCCAAGATCATGCCACTGCACTCCAGCCTGGGCGACAGAGCCAATTCTCAAAAAAAAAAAAAAAAAAAAAAAAGAAGGAACTCAGCGTTTCTTGTGGCAGCTAAAACTTGACTTTTACAAGGCTGTGGCTGCCTGTCACCAGCATTTCTGCTCTCTGGAATAGATGGGAACACACACACATGTACATGCATGGTCACAGGAGCACATATGCACACACACATGCACACACTTACATGTACACATTTGCACACACACTCATGCACACTTGCACATGTCTTAACACACATGAATGCATACACTAATATGTATACATATGCAAATCATATGTAAACGAATACACATGTGCACATACTCTTGGCACATTGCACTCTTGCATACACAAACGTGCCCTGTACATGGATATGCACACTCGTGAACACACCAAACATAAATGAACACACAGAAACACACATGCATGCATGTGTTTACTTGTACATGCATGCATGTGCTTACCTGTACAGTCATGCACACACTCACATATGCATATACAGTCACACTCATTCACATGCAAACACACCTGCACACATGCAGCATATGCTCACAATCATGCACATGCACAGAAACACAGACATACATGTACATATGTGTGCCTACATGAACACATGTACGTGTGTGTACCCATCACACAGATGCACACACATTTGCACGTGCACACATGTATGCACACAGTGCTGGAGTGCAATGGCATCATGTCACTGCAACTTCCGCCTCCTGGGTTCAAGCATTTCTCCTGCCTCAGCCTCCTGAGTAGCTGGGATTACAGGTGCCCACCAACATGGTCGGCTAATTTTTGTATTTTTAGTAAAGATGGGGTTTCGCCATTTTGGCCAGGCTGGTCTCGAACTCTTGACCTCAAATGATCTGCCCACCTCGGCCTCCCAAAGTACTGGGATCACAGGCATGAACTGCTGCACCTTGACTTTTCTTTCTTTTTTCTTTCTTTCTCTTTCTTTTTCCTTCCTTCCTTCTTTTCTTCCTTCCTTCCTTCTTTTCTCCTTCCTTCCTTCCTTCCTTCCTTCCTTCCTTCCTTCCTTCCTTCCTTCCTTCCTTCCTTCCTTCCTTCCTTCCTTCTTTCTTTTCTTGTCTGTCTGACAGGATCTGGCTCTGTCACCCAGGCTGGAGTGCAGTAGCACAATCACGGCTCACTGTAGCCTTAAACTCCTGGGCTCAAGCGATTTTCCCACCTCAGCCTCCTGAGTAGCTGGGACAACAGGCACACGCCACCATGCCTGGCTAATTTCTTTTTTCTTTTTTTTTCTTTTTTTGTAGAGATGGGGTCTTGCTATATTGCCCAGGCTGTCCTCAAACTCGTGGCCTCAAGCAATTTTCCCACCTCAGCCTCCCAAAATGCTAGATGACAGCTGCAAGCCACCACAAACGACTCTATCATAATGCAGTCTTTACAACCAGCTGCAAATAGGGCTCTGAAGTCTAGGGACAAGTCCTCAACTCCTGAAATGACAGAGGAGGAAGTGAGTGAAGTGAATGAATGATGGGCACAGTCAATATTGAGAATAATCACAATGATTGCAACTGCAAACCCTCCCCTATGCGGCCCCTGCTCTAAATGCTACTTTGTTGGTCACTGCAGCACTCTTTCAGGATGGTATCAGCACTCCCAGTAGACAGAGTGGCTCAGGGCTCACACCAGGTCCCTCAGCCCACACCCATCAGACTTGGGGTTCAAGCTCAGATCTGTCCGTTTTCAAGAGAGAGTCCAACCAGCCTGCCCAAAATCAGCCAGTGAAGACTAACCAAGGGATTGCTAGGAGACAGATGGTCTCACTGGCTAGATCATAATCAGGCAATTCCAGAGTGAGGATCCTCATCGGCCATCCCATTCCTACTGTGTTTGAGGACACATGGATGAAGCCTCGGCTCAGGGCTTCGTGTTAGGGTCCTGGGTTTGGAGGGTGGGCAGGATGTGCCTTGTCGGGGCTCCCTGCTCACCTCTCATGGCTCAACCTCGTTGCTGCTGGTGGGTCGCCTCTGCTCCTTTTCTCTTCGCTCCCTCTCTTCTTCCAGCAATGCTTTGTTCTTTTCCCTTTGACATTTCCAGAAGATGCGGATGCCTCCAGCTATTACGAGTCCCACTGCAACAAGGAACAGAGGCAGAGCCGCTTTCCATGCCATGAACTGGGAGCTTCTGGAGAAGGTAGCTAGAGAAGATTCCCAGAAGCCAGGAATATTGGGGTGAGAGAGTGTCTGTGTTCTGAGGTCAAACTCGCTAAAGGGTTCACGAGTCCAGGGACATGATATTTGCAAATTACTGTGAAATAGTTTCCAAAATAGTATGTATTTGCACACGTGGTGCTATGAACTGAATGTCTGTGTCCCCCAAAGTTCCCAAGCTGAAATCCCAAACCCTACGGTGATGATGTTAGGAGGTGAGGCCTTTGCGAGGTGATGAGGTCATGAGGGTAGAGCCCCCATAATGGATATGATGGGAATGGTGCCTTTATAAAGGGGAGAGCCTATAGAGCTCCCGTACCCTTTCCACCATGTGAGGACACAGTGAGAAGGCGCTGTCTATGAACCAGGAAGCACCCTCCCCAGACACCAAATCTGCCACGCCTTTATCTTGAACTTCCCAGCTTACAAAACTGCGGTCAATAACTATCTCTTGTTTCTAAGTCACCTGGTCTGTGGTATTTTGTTATAGGCACACAAATGGAGTAAGACAGTTGGGTATAGATATATGCATAGGAAGTAGATATTAGATATCTATTTGTAGATAAAGAGAGAAGTGATAAAAAGAAATTTCACAACGAGGTAGAAATGTGGTGAATCTGAGTAAAGGATGCACAGACAACTTCTCTATTAATCTTGCAAATTTTCTGTAAGTTTGACATCATTTAGAAAAGTAAAAGTGAAAGTTTTTGTGAAAAGGTAAATTTGGAAACAACCAAGATATTTTTTAGTAGGTGAATGGATCAATAAACAGTGGTCCATCCAGATTCTGGAACATTATTCGTTTCAAAAAAGAAACAAGTTATTAAGGTATGAAAAGACATGGAGGAAACCTAAACGCCTACCACAAAGTGAGGGAAGCCAGTGTGAAGGGGCTACAGAGGCACAATTCCAACTACAGGACATTCCAGAACTCCTGGAAACTATGGAGACAGTGAAAACATCAGTGGTGGCCAGGAGTTAGGGGAGAAGGATGAATGAGTGGAGCACAGAGGATTAAGGGCAGTGACATTATTTTGTATGATACTATAATGACAGATATGTGGTGTTATATATTTTTCTAGAACCATGGGACGCCATGCCAAGAGTGAGTCCACATGGAGACTGCGTACTCTGGGTGCCGACGGCATTGTCAACGGAGGTTCATCAATCATGGTGGACATTCCTTCTGGTGCAGGGTTTTTTTGCTGGGGGAAGTTGTGCGAGGGGGTTAGGGGAATATGGGAACTCTCTGGACTTTCTACTAAAATTTGTTGTGACCCTAAAACTGCTTTAAAAAATAAAGCCTATTTTTAAAAACCCTAAAAACCATTGATATTAGGGTGTACATTTCTTGTTCCCCCAAAGGCAAGGCTCTCTCCAGTGTCCCTGCATCCTTATCTCTGTTCCTCTTCCGTAATCAGCACCCAAACAGTGCACCTTCCAGGACGCCCCAGCCAGGTGAGGACAGGGACCTGCTGCCCGTTCCCTCTTGCCACAAGCCCTACAGCTGTCTCTTAATGTCTCCAGTGTCCAGGGCCACGGAATCTTGTGCTCACTGATTGTGAGGACAGAACTGAACAGAGGACTCACCGGGCAGGTGACTTTCAGCCACCTTCCTCCTCTCAGGGAGGAGAGGGCTGGAGATGGAGCAAGAGAGACCCTCCACAGCCCTGTCCCAGAGCATCAAGCTGGACGTCACAGCCCAGAGACCCATGGTGGCCGAGGCTGAGAGATTGGTCACAGCAGGCCTAGCCTGGCCTCTGAAGTCTCGCCATTCCACCCAGGGCTTGGGGAACTAGCCTGCTAATGTGCACTCTGCCTTGACTCCATCCTGCTGTTCCATCACCTGGATTCTGGGCTCCATGCCCAGCCCTGAAGGAAGAGACAGCGACTTGAATCTTTGCAGCCATGGCTGCTTCTATTTAAAGGAAAAACAAAATCTTGAGGATTTCCAATGTATTTTGGCAATTTCACAAACTGCCTACCCTGTATCACATGCCATCCTTAACAGAGTTGCCCCATTTCCCAGACAAAATAGGGTAAGCAAAACGGAAAAGGCCCAGGAAGATTGAATAAGCATCCTGTGTTGCAGAAGTAGAATTCACGGCACAAGATGGGACCTAGGCTTGTCTGCTTCAAAGCACAAGTTCTGAGTCACTCGGGAAACCTCCTGTATTTCAAGACTCTCTTCTCTCTCGGTCTCTCTGTCTCCTGTCATTATTTCTCTGTCTCTCTCTTCCTCCCCATTTCTGTTGCTTACTCTCTTTCTCATTCTCTTTTACTGTCTCTCTGTCTCTGTCTCTCTCTCTCTTTCTGTTACTGACTCAGTCTCTTTGTCTGTTTCATTCTCTCTGTGTTTCTCTCAATTTCTCATTCTCTCTGTCTCTCTCCATCTCTGTCTCTCCTGTCTTTTATTCTCTGTCTCTGCTTGTCCCTCTCTCTCCATCTCTCTCTCCTCATCTCTATAATTCTGTCATTCTTTCTTCACCTCTCTCTGTCTTTCTCTCCATCTAACTTTCCACCTCTGTCTGTCTGTCCCTGCTTCTCTCTCATTCTACCTCTCCATCTCTGTGTCTCTCTCATTCTCCCTGTCTCTCTCTTTCCCTTCCCTTCCCTTTCCAGTACACTGGTGTAAGGAGGGAAAGGAAGATGAGGAAGGTGACCCTGCCTTCACAGCTGCACTTCCCAGGAGCAGCGCAGGCCAGCATGGCAGCTGCGAGAGTGCACTCTCACCCTCCTGAAAAGCCCTCCACCTGAACATGCTGGGCCCCGAGGCCATGCCTGGAAGTAGGACTGATAGCCAGTTAGCCACTGGCCTCACCTGCCACCTGCACCTGCACAATGGCCTTGCCGAACTTTACACCATCCTTGAAGTGGCAGCAGTATGTCTCGTTGTCAAAGGCTGTGACCCTGTGAATCCTCACCATGGCCTTGCCCCCGGCCACATGGTCACTCACGAAGGTTGTCCTTCCTCTGTACTATGACTTTTGCTCTCTATCCATGTCCATCCCTCTCTCATGCACGTGCACAGCCAGGGAGGCCTGGCACCTGTACCACCTCAGCTCCATGTCCTCGGCACTGATATTGGGGAACAGTTGACACTGTAACTCCACATGTCCCCCAGCCATGGCCAGAATAGGGGCATGAGGCCCAATGACATCATAGTCAGCTTTCTCTGGGAGACGCAGATCAGAAAGGGCTGGGTTAGCCATGTGTGGGGAGGCCAGGGCACTCTCCCCCTGCCCCTCCCTCATCTTGGAAGCTTTGGGGACCTCTTGAGCCCGAGCTGCTGGGAGATGCTTCAGCTTCCTGCCATGCTGGACACACACCTCCTATGCCAGGGCACCTGCCTCGACTTGCACAAGAGTCTGTCCCACAGTTTTGACAGATGCTGGCCAGTGGGAGCTGCAGGAAGACCAGGGTGACAAAGCAGATGGGCAGGAAGTCCTCTTGATCGCACGCACATCATTGCCATTCCTGCCAGGTCAGAGCTACGCACTGTCACTGGGAGAGGAGCCACCGCCAGGAAGCTAACAGGTGCAGAGGAAAAATGCCATGGAAGAAAAAGAAGAAAAGGTCATTCACTCTCACTCCCAAACAAGTTATTAATGCTATAAATGGAGACACAGCAAGCCTCATGTGCTCCTGTACCCATCTTCTCACGGGTAACACACCTCTCACCCTAGTCCCTCTGTGGAATTCCACAAGGACATCCAGGAGGGAAGGGGTTTGATTTTCTAACCTGCTCATGAAGAGCCGTAGCCCAATCTCTAGCTGGAGACTGTCATGAAACACCAGAATGCTGGAGGAGAAAACCCAGACTCGGATTAAGCAAATTCGAGGTCAGAATGACATCAGGGGATTCCCTTAATATCCCTTGCTTTCCCGCTGTCCCCATGGGGACTTCTATAGTCAGGGGCTGGGGTCTGGGCCCAATCCTCAGAGCTCTTCAGCTGGGATGGGCAGGCCAAGACCCTCATGAGTCTCTTGTGAGCATTTCTTGTAACCTCGGTTTAGAGAGCAGGTATTGGGAAAAAGGTCTGTGGCCTTGGGCGGTTCTTCCCAGCACAGCCATCCATGTTGGGCATTTACGTGTGTTATTAGGGAGTTGTGTGGGCACAGGCTCTTGTCCTATTTGGTTCTTGCCTTCCAGGAAGACCCTGTGGTCCTTCTGCCCCTTGGGGATGGGGAGAGGTTGGAGGAAGCAGAAACACTGAAGAGTGAACAGCATCCTGACCATAGAAAATGCTCACCTGGCACCGAGAGCTGCTGCAGCTTCCTTGGGAAGTCCTGGCAACTTTAGGGGAATTAATTTAGTTTCCTGCCAACTCCAGGTGGGTGTGACCCAGGCCAAACATGCTGTCTCCAGGCGGTGATGTGAAAGGCAGCCTCGACATCTGGCAAAAGCTGCCAACTCCCCCGGTTTCCAGAGATTCTTCCTTTTGTTTTTTTTGCAAAAGTATGTAACTGTGCCTTTTGGGCAGTTGCAGTAGAGGACAAAAAAGGCTTCCCATAGAGTGTGATCCCCAGTGTGGAACGCCCCAGGGCTGGGGAGCAGGAGATACTGCCCGTGGGGAGGAGACAGGCCTCAAGATGGGACCCAGGCCAACTGAAGGAGCTGTGAATGCAGGTAAAGCCTGCAGTTATCTGGCAGTGTGCAGGCCCAGCCTAGCTGGCCCGGGTCCTTCAGGAAAGGTGTTTATGATCATGTCGCAATGGCCTAATTCCCATATTGTCCCGGAGGGATGTTCAGGGCTCATCTTCCCCAGCCTTTCACTGCCCTCCATGGCCGTGGGGTCATGGATGTCTGTTCTCATTGGCAGCCTCCCTGACCCAGCTTAGAACCTTCATGCTGATTTCTTGCACCCAGCGGCCAGGCCCATTCCCTCCTCACCTTCTTGTTTGAAGACTAAAAAGTCTGGGCCTTTTCCTGGGTGGTTTTTGTGAGAAAGGAGTCCTTGCTTTCCTAGAGGGAGGAGCTTTATCTGAACTCTGCAGACAGGTGCTGAGCACTCCCCGTGCCCGCGGGCGGTGGAGGAAATCCAAGTGCCAGGTCCCTCCTATGTCCCTCCTGGGGGAGTGTCCCTTTGGTCAACCAGTTGTTCCCCCTTTTATATGTCAGCATGTAAGAATTATGTTGTCCCTGTGATCTGCTTTTACCAGACAATGACGTGACCTAAAACTCGACTCACTTGTCTTTTTGAAAAAATTAATTGGCCAGGTGTGGTGGCTCACACCTGTAATCCCAGAACTTTGGGAGGCCGAGGCAGGCAGATGGCCTGAGGTCAGGCGTTCAAGACCAGTCTGGCCAACATGGTGAGAACCCATCTCTACTAAAAATACAAAAAAAATTAGCCTGGCATGGTGGCCTGCGCCTGTAATCCCAGATACTTGGGAGGCTGAGGCAGGGGAATTGCTTGAACCAGGGAGGTGGAGGTTGCAGTGAGCCAAGATCATGCTACTGCACTACGGCCTGGGTGACAGAGTGAAACTCTGCCTCAAAAAAAGAAAAAAAAATTAATATATTGTTAAAGACAGGGTCTCATCCTGTCACCCAGGCTGGAGTACAGAGGTGTGATCTCTGCTCACTGCATTCTTGATCTCCCAGACTCAAGCAATCCTCCCATCTCAGCCTCCCAAGTAGCTGGGACCACAGGTGCACCATCATGCCTGGCTAAATTTTTGGTGTTTTTTGTAGAGATAAAGTCTTGCTATGTTTCCCAGCTTGTCTTGAACTCCCAGGCTTAAGCGATCCTCCCACTTCAGCTTATCAAAGTGCTGTGGTTACTGGCATGAGCCACTGTGCTGCATCCAGTCACACTTGTCCCAATGACTTGGGAAGGAGGGCTCAGGTTTGAACAATCTAGAGAGAGCTGCTACGATGTACAGAGCACACTGTGTTGACAACAGATTGTGATGCCTGTTGTCAGACGAAGAGTCATGAGCACTGGGAAAAGCTATGGCGGAGAAGGGTGTCCTGGTGGTGTAGGCTTTCAGCCCATGGGTAGGTCACTTGACACAGTGGTCCTTCTGTGCATGAGCCCATGTGTGGCCCAGAGTCTCTCAGGTGGGCAACCAGGGCTCCTGCAGACACATTCAGCTCAACCCACCTCAGGTACAATGTTTAAAGTTCAAAGGCAAGAAGACAGGAGGTCACACACTTTACAATTCCCTTCATATGAAATGACCAGACAGGTAAATACAGGGACAGAAAGAAAACTGTGGTTGTTGGGGCTGAGGAGATGGGGGAGATGGAAGTGGAGATGAGGAATAACTGTTTAATATTTTTGGGGTTTTACTTAGGGTGATGAAAATATTTTGGAACTAGATAGAGATGGTGGTTGCAAAACATTGGGAATGTACTTAGTGCCACCAAATGGTATACTTTAAAATGGTCAATTTTATATTATATAAATTTTATCTCAATTGACAAAAAAGAAAAATATTTAAAAAAAGAAAAAACAGAAGAAAAGGAAAAACAACAGAGAGAGAGAGGAGAGAGAGAGAGAAAACAAAGAAAGAAAGAAAAAAAAAAAGAGCTGCTTATCCACCCTCTTGTGGAAGGGATTATGTTTAGAAAACAAGAAAACCCCCAAATCTCATTTGTTAAAATGTGATTGTCTGGTCTTTGGTGCCCTCTGCAGGAATGTGTGTCAGTGCACCAGTCCCTCTTCCCTGTTTTCTTTTCTTTTTCTTCTTTTCCTCAACTTTTATTTTAAATTCAGGGGGTACATGTGCAGGTTTGTCACATGGATTTATTGCATGACACTGAGGTTTGGGATCTGAGAGATCCTGTCACTCAGGTAGTGAGCATAGTACTTAATAAGTTAGTTTTTCAACCCTTTCCTTTTCCCTTCCTCTCTGCTCCAGTAGTCCCCAGGGTCTCTTGTTCTCATCCTTATGTCCATGTGTGCCCAGTGTTTAGCTCCCACTTATAATTGAGAACGCATAGCATTTGGTTTTCTGTTCCTGTATTAATTCACTTAGGATAATGGTCTCCAGCTGCATCCATGTTGCTGCAAAGGACATAATTTCACTTTTTTATGGCTGTGTAGTATTCCTTGGTGTATATGTACCACATTTTCTTTATCCAGTCCTCCAATGACAGGCACCTAGGTTGATTCCATTTCTTTGCTATTGTGAATTGTGCTGCAATAAACATATGAGTGCATGTGTCTTTTTGGTAGAATGATTTCTTTGCCTTTGGTTATATACCCAATAATGGCATTGCTGGGTCAAATGGTAGCTCTACTTTTAGTTCTTTCAGAAACCTCTGAACTGCTTTCCATGGTAGCTGAGCTAATACACTCCCACACGGTGTATAAAGGTTGCCTTTTTCTGTACAAATTTGCCAACATCTGTTAATTTTTTGACTTTTTGGTAATCGCTATTCTGACTGGTGTGAGATGGTGTCTCATTGTGATTTTGATTTGCATTTCTGATGATTAGTTATGTTGAGCATTTTTTCACGTTTTTTGGCTGCATGTATGTCTTTTTGAGATGTGTCTGTTCAAGTCCTTTTATCCATTTTTAAATGGGGTTATTTGTTTTTAGCTTGTTGAATTGTTTAGGTTCCTTACAGATTCTGGATCTCAGCTCTTTGCGGATAGTTTGTGAGTATTTCGTGAGTATTTGAGTTTGTGAATATTTTCTCCTGTTCTGCAGGTTGTCTGTTTACTCCATTGATGGCTGCTTTTGCTGTGCAGAAGCCCAGTTTTCCCTAAGGCCCCCAAGAAGTCAGTGAGATTTTCTGTCAGAAGGAGTCCTCTTGTATTTCCCTCCCCCTCCATCTGCTCTGGACCTGGGAGCCAGCTTTGCTGTCTGGGCCCTGAGCAGGCCAGTTTGTGTCCTCTTTTCTCAAAGCCCTTCTGAAAACAGTTCAACTGGTGTTTTCCCTGTAGACCCTCCCTCTGTCCTATAATGGGACCAAATCCATAGGGGCAGTCTTGGAGGACAAATGGTACTTTTCCTAATCTCTCCTCCTTCTCCCTATCTCCCTGCACAAACTTTCTGCTTCCCATAACCCCTGGGACTGTGTGCACAGGGATTCCGGATCCTCTAAGTATTTAAAACAATATTTACCCAAGTCATGGATGATTTGTCTCACCTCACTCTTGGATGGTAAATTCACTCCCTGAGGCTTTGCAGTTTCTGCCTACACACTGTTTAGTCCAGGCCCAAGGGGTACCTTGCAGCAACCACACCCTCCTATCTTCCCAAGGCTTCCCACTCTTTAATGCAAACCGTGTATTTTTTCTCAATATTATGTAAAGTGCTCGTATATGTAGCTGGAAGAGCCCCCTAACAAGCAGATCTGCCAAGGAGCCCCTCCAACATGGACATTTAAGGATCGCCTCTGTGTCTTAGACTCTGGAGATGGTGTTAGTTGAATGACGACCAGGTGAGTGCAATGAAGACTAAAAACCACTAAAAGCTGGCCACTCCTGAGGAGACAGGACTGAGCAGGGGCACACGAGGATGCTGGGGCCTTCAGGATGAGAAGCAGGGTTCAGCAGAAGAGACAGATGGGATACAGCAAGCATTTAGGGCAGGAGAAGAACTAAATTAAATGAGGTAAATGAAGTAGGGTCATTTCGTACCCAACAGTGATTATTTATTCATAAAAATCTGTGTCTCAGGCATTCAGGTCCTTTGGAATGCACTAGCTAATCAAATGAACAAAAAGTT